GTCCGGTAGGATCTGGATTTGCTTTAGTTTTTTTTTTCCATAGTGCTAGAATTTCTGTTTCAATTGTCTGTTTGATGCTAATTAGGGGTGTCTCTGAGGGGGCGTGGTGTTCGTTAAGGGTTGGTTAGATGGCAACACCTTTTCCATATGGCCCATAGGGTGCCTTTTCTGATTAGCGAGAAGAGGAAGTAGTCAAAAACTTTTAGTGTTGGGGATTGATCTGAGTGAAGGAGTATGGTAGAGGGGTTAATGAGTACGTTTCTATTGGATAGAGAATACCATTAGAGTTCTATGTCTAGCCACAACTGTTTTGCGTGTTCACAATCTAAGAAACAATGGTTGAGAGATTCCTCGGATTGTGTGTTATTACATACCGTGCACCAGGTTGTCAAGTGTTTGGCGTCCCTGTCATGGTCCGGACCATGGGAGAAGTCGCAAGCACCATGGTTTGTCGGTACGATCGGTGGATCTTGGGAACGTGGAATGTTTGCTTGACCCTTCGGGGCTATTGAATTACATCGTTAATCTTTGTTTCTCTTGGGTGCTAAGTGCTCTCAAGCGTGACTACTCTTGTTCTACTGTTTGTTGACAAGCTGTGATACTCTCCTATCTCCTATCTGTTCTGCTTTCCTTACTTCTTCTCTGGGCAAGCCATTGATTTACTGGGACTGCTCTGAATGCTATGAGCCAGAGGAGGCGGGCCAGTTTGGCTGGTGGCAAGAAGGATTCTTAATTCTTATGGATCCAAAATTTCAAAATTGTTCTGCCGGTGAAATTTGGCCCAAGTGGTTTCATACGTTTGCACCAAAGGAAAAAAAAAATGACAAGAAAAGAGAGAGAGAGAAAAAAAACAAATGAAAAAAAAAAGGTTCAGGAGTTCAGCCAAGCATAAGCTTAGGGCTGAATGTGGGCGATTAACAGTTTTAGTTCTGTGGCATCGCAATGTGCCCAACCCTAGCTTCTAGGGAAAAATAAAATAAAATAGAAATGATAGAATATAATAATAATATTATTATAAAAATAAATCATGTTCAATAATTTCAATTAATATTTAGGATTTTTTTTTTTTTTTTTTTTTTAAGAAGTCGGGAAGTAGTGATCTGAGACAAAACGTACCCTTGTTATTAACCTCCTCCCTCATAGCTGGAAATTTTTTGAATGCAATCAAATCCGATCGACCTTTGCTACCAGCAGGGCCGCACAGGTCACAGTGTATTTGCCCAGGTGGGGCCGGCCAAGCACGGACCAGGGCAAGGTCCCAGTGGAAAAAAAAGAAAAAAAATCGGGAAAAAAAGTTTAAAAAACATGTAATGCTGCTTATGCAGAAAAATAAACTGAACAACGTTTGCCTCAGGGTCACATGACATCGAATTCTTTAACAAATCTGTTTTTTTTTTTTTTTTTTTTTTTTGGCCCAGCTCTGGCAGCCTAGCGATCGACTCAATATAGTTCTGTCGGCTATGGTGGTGAACGGATGCTGATGGCAGTGTGCTATTTTTTTTCAATCTTGACTATCGTTTGTTGTTTGGCCCTCATTGGGCATTGGCCAAAGACTATCATCGTGTGACGAAGTGTGCCTATGCACGTGATGTGGAAGCGTGTCTTGGCTATGGCAACACCATAGCGTTTGCTCTCTGGTTCAGGTGTTCCAGCTTCCAGCAGTTCGCAGTAGATCACGAGTTCGATTCCTGACAATTCAGCGATGATTCGCCGATGAATAATATTTTAGGGGCTACTGCCGTCAACAAAGGAAAAAGAGTACGCAAGGTGCGAGACCTCAAGCTCACAGAGGACGAACTGCGTACACACATCATTGACACCCACACTGCCTGCAAGAGAGAAAATTTTCAAAACTTAAAACTGCCATACTATAAATTAATTAAATTGATAGAATCATAGAATAATAAAATATTAGATTATCTTTCATTGGATGCGTTGCTCGAGTAGCCTGAGCCTGCAAAACCCAGTCAAAATCAGATCAAAGAATCAGGTCACCTGATAAAAAATAAAAATAAAAACAAAAAAAAATGGAAAGGAGATCAACTACTAGAGCAATGCGCAATCCGATCAGCCTTGCCAGACCAGAAGCAGGCGGGCCTGTTATGGCTAATTTACCACCTGGCGATCCCGACAGACAGCACAGTGCCAAGCCACTAAGACTCAATACAAGGACCAGAGGTGTGCTGCAGGGTGTGGCCAAGTGGAGACTATACCTCACGTCTTTGTACACTGCCCTGAAGATCGGGCGCAAGAAATGGCAGGCAAGTCACCGCTGGACATCGACGACACGGACGATGCAGCTATTCTCCTGGGCACACCGACGAAAGTCGAAACCTGAGGACCTGATGGCCGCGGAAACCATAAGAGCAGCGGTGCTATGGGCGCTGTGGACCTTGAGACACGAACGTTGTAGACAGGGAGCAACCCCGTCACTGCAGGCGTATCAGGAAAGCGCGCTGGAGAATATCAGGGCCGCCATTTTAGCGGACCTGAACCGCTGTAGAAACCTAGGACAGGAGAGGGAGAGCAGTTTTTGGAAAAGATGGGGCCCGTACCCACAGTTGGTGACCCGGAACCCCCAGACAGGTTATATGCAGTTTGGCCCTGGTTCTGCTGCGCCACGCGCCTCAACCGGAAACAGAGCCGTGAGCGCTCATGGGTTACGACTACACATTTCACGGACGGAGTTACAAAATAACCATTTTGTAAAATAGTCAGGAAAGGGGGAAGGGGGTAGGAGGGAGAGGATAGATGCACTATAATATAGGGAGGGGAGAAGAATAGGGATGGAGGGTGAAAGGGTAGTTGGAGATACAGTAATAGAGGGAGAGTAAAGGGGTGAGGAGGGGGGGAAGAGGGGGGACGGATAGCAGATGGCAATGGTATAACGAGGCGAACTTTTCAAGAAAAGGAAAAAGCAAAAAAGCAAAGATTAAATAAGAAAAGCTGGGGAAATTGCATTTTAGTCTTTTAGGAAGGGACAGTTAGGGAAGATCACCGAGGAGGATGCAGAGACGATGAGGGACAGTCACTGGTCACGGGGTGAAATGGAATTGGGAGTGTGAGAAGTGAGCTAGATAGGATCAAGGAATCGACAACAAAGGGGTTAAAGGAACACAAGGGTATGCACTGTAAAGATTTAGGCCTTTGAGACATGAAGCCTGAAAAACAGGGTTTTTCACACATGCGGCCTGCAAGATTGCCAGGACCGCCCCCGCACCCCGCTGTTCTTGCGACTCTCCTGCTGCACTGCATGCCTGGGTGCTGCTCGTAAGCATCCCGGCCAGCAGGAATATCCCCAAAGAAAGGCCATGGTTTGGGCGCTGGGACACCTCGGGGGGCTACCTCCCCCTTGAATAGGCGACTAGTGCCGCAAGGGTAAGGCTGACTCTTTCTCTCGACTTTCTGCTTTCCTGTTCTCATGCTTGGCAGTAATAAGCAACCGGACTGATGCCCCCCAGAGTTGGAAGGGGCCTTGACTGTTTCAAAAAAAAAAGGGAAAAAAAAAAAAAAGGGAACGAGATCAAGATCAAGTCTGATCAACTACCTCTTTTTTTAAGTTTTTTCATGTTTTTGCAACAAGAGAGAGAGAGAGAGAGAGAGAGAGAGAGAGAGAGAGAGAGAGAGAGAGAGAGAGAGAGAGAGAGAGAGAGATCAGTTTAGCCGGTCATTTAAAGTTTTTAAACCCTAATCCCAGACTAATAATGTTTCTCAACTGCTGGTTCTTTCTAAAGTTTTTTGGTCTCCTCTGGATTACATTTGACATTGGGGTGGGCCTCTTCTGCCCGTTGGTTGGGCCTATTTATTTATCCGTTTTGCCAATTGGTTGGGCGTATTTAATGATCCGTTCGGCCCGTTGGTTGGGCCTAGAGTTGGGATCTGGACTTGGAGTGGGTTGTGCGGCAGGATGGGTGGCAGACCCACACAGGCAGAGAACTGTCGAATGGAACAGGAAGCGGAACCAACTTCAAATAAGTGAGCGCGTACGTTCAGCGCGTTGTTGCATCATGGCTACCATTCAAAAATTGAAAATTGAAACTTCAAATTTCAAATACATTTACTGATTTTTTTGGATCCTATATCTTTTTTTCTTTTTCTTTTTTTTTTTGGCGGGGGGGAACAATGCTCCAATCTATTTTGGATCTTATATCAGGTGGATTGAAGAAAAAAAAAGGGGCCTACCGGGGAGCTCAGTTGGTACACCCATGAAACTCCTGAAATACAGACTCAAGTTTGAACCCAGATATTATCAGATGATGAGAATAAGTCATTCTGAATTACCTGGGGCTGATCAGTTCAACCAAAATGATGATATCTCAAGGCCATCACTCCCAAAAGAAAAAAGAAAAAAGAAAAAAAAAGAGTTTCGACTCTCGAGTTGCAAACAAGTTAACAAAACAAAAAAAAAAAAAAACGTGAGGAGAAGGCCGTGTTCCACAATTTGCCTGCCACTTGAGAAAAGGAATGTCAGATTTTCGATCTTCCTGTATGTGTAGTTTTGCACAGAGACTCCTTTGAACCACCGGTGGGTGAGACCGTGAGACCCTTCTGAGGTGTCCTTACGGTTCTTCCATACTTGATGTATTTATTGAACACGGGGCCACCGGCACGCTGGTATCGCCAAAAATGTGCCTCCATATCAACCACCCATCAACCGCTCCCCCCCCCCCGGGTCAAAAGCCTGGAGACAATAATTAAAAAAAAAAAAAAAAAAACACTGGGGACACCCAGCCCATTTGCCTGACACCTCTGAATTACTGGGGCCTGTCAGCCTCTCTACACTTGTGAAGCAGCCCGCCGCGACCTCTGTTAATTGGAGTTTGTCTAAATTGTCTCTAAGGAACGATTCCTAGATTATGGCACTTCAAGGCTGTCTCGGCTTTATAACATTGAAAAAGGCTTTCTTTTTTTTTCTTTTTTTTCTGTCCAAAACAGCATTTTTTTATTTTTTTTATTTTTTTTCCCTTTTTTCTGGTGGGAAAATGATTTAATTGGCTCACCTTTGCCGAAATCGTATTGCGAGTTTCTGCGCCAAGGCCCTACACAACGAGGTTTTGCCGGTTCCCGGTGGACCATGGAGAAGCACCACCCTGCAGCAGCAGTACCAGTCAGAAGCCTGCTCTGACCCCGACGTCATAAAGCCATTGCCATGCCTTTCGCCATCATTATCGATGATGGCCCCAGTCCACACTTATCATGCGTTTGGCACCATCGATCTGTCCAACCACCCAACCATCCATGAAGCAAGCCACCCCATCATCCAACAATCCAGGTGGGCACAATGTCTGTTCAAGACGAATGAGCGATGACCGGCGATAGCAAAACTGCGGCTTCCGAAGCAAAAGGAAGGGAATAAAAAAAAAACAAGATCCCCGTCATCATGAAAAATAAGTGCACAAAAAATAAATACAGAGAACCGCCCCCCCCCCCCCSCCCCCCCCCCTCCCTCCTTCCCCTCCTCTGGAGCTAGGGTTGGAAGCAGGATTGGGGTCAGAATTGGGAGCCCCCCCCTTCCCTCCTCTGGGGCTAGGGTTGGAATCAGGATTGGCGTCAGAATTGGGAGCAGGGCTGGGGTTGGGGCCAGGGTTGGGACCAGAATCAGGGTTGGGGTCAGATTTGGGAGCAGGGATGGGGTTGGGGTCAGGGTTGGGACCAGAATCAGGATTGGGGTCAGAGTTGGGAGCAGGGCTGGGGTTGGGGCCAGGGTTGGGACCAGAATCAGGATTGGGGTCAGAGTTGGGAGCAGGGCTGGGGTTGGGGCCAGGTTTGGGACCAGAATCAGGGTTGGGGTCAGAATTGGGAGCAGGGGTGGGGTTAGGGCTGATTGAGGTCAGAATTGGGAGCAGGGCTGGGGTTGGGGCCAGGGTTGGGACCAGGGTTGGGGCCAGGTTTGGGTGACCAGGGTTGGGGCCAGGGTTGGGGAAAGTGGAAGCAAACGAGAGTCAAACGGCCTTCAGAAAGGAGTCCACGGTTGTGTCTCTAAGTCTGACTGAGATTGAGGAGGAGTTGGGTTTGTGGCCAATCAAACATGAACGGTTGGAAAAGGAATCTAAATTATTTAAAAGAGTTCAGAGGCAAAAACAAAAAGCATTGCACGAAAAGAAACTTCAGAAGACCAAACAAATTTCAAAGCATGCTTCAAGAATCGCAACCGATTAGAGAAGAAGGCCACCAGAGCAAGATAGACAAACGGAAGAAGGCAAAAGTTGTGAAGGCGTTCCCGGATTTTCTTGGTAGAGGCAACTCCTTTGCGCTTAGGATCACAACAAGACACCTGAGGGTCTCTAATAAGCTCCATGACCAGTCACCAAGAGCTCAGAGGCCTGTTGTAACCCCAAATGACTTATTACATTCCTTTGGCTCCGCAAAACTGCAAGCGCCTAGAGGAAGTCAAAGGCAAGCGCAAAGAAGAGAGCGAGAGGGGTAGAAAAATTGCATCCACGAGCAGATCCTAAAGAATCAAAAAGGTGCCCTCCCGCTTGGGAGTTGGACGCTCGACTAATCAGCTAAGCTGGCTGGCGTGAAAGCGAGGCCCCAAGATGAGCACTTCACCCCACCCCAGCATGGATTTCTCCGCGTCCTGGTGTACCCAGTCACACTCACCGAGTCACACTCCCACCCAAGCTACCAAACAAACTACAACTGCACAGCAGGTTGTTACGCTAGAAAGAATTGCGTCCACGAGCCGGTCCCCGAGAATCGAACAGGCGCCCGCCCACTTGGGAGCTGGACAACCAACCAAACGGCTAGGCTGACTGACGTGAAAGTGAAGCCCCATTATGAGCACTTCCCCCCACCCCAGCACGGATTTCTCCGAGTTCAAACCCAAGTTGACGCAGGACGTGATGAAGATCACTACTGAGAAAGGAGAGTGGAGTAGGATTAATCGAGGGTGGTGATGCACATGATACAAAGAATGGATCTAGTCTACCACCCACCCAGTCCCCGAGGAGTCCCATGGGAAACCACCTGGTCCCCAAGAAGTCCCAAGGGAAGTCCAGAAGAAGGACCCAGAAAAGAAAGGAAGGAATCAGACAGAAGGGAAAGAATCAAGATGTGAATGCCCGGGGCCGGCCGACCGGCCAAGCGCCGACGGATTCGTTTATAGTACTTTATACACAGGTGAAAAGATCGAAGACCTGCCCACATGGATATCTGATGTTTGATCTTTCTTTTTTTCTTCTTCTTTTTCTTCAGTTTTAATCTCTATCTTAAGTGTTCCGCGAATTCGACTGAAATTGGCTGTCTCGGCAGGCATGCGAAGGCATGGGTTAGAAAAGAGGCGCATGGTGCTCCTTATGATGACAGGGCTGACGAATGTGCCGCCTAGTACGCAGAACCTCACTGAGTACCCGACTCAGTTGACGGACAAATTCATTGACAAGAACAGGGCATCCAAGTCCCAATGAAGAAATTATGAACATTGGCCCATTCTGCAAAAACATGGAAAAACTGTTGAGAGTTTGACTTGTCGAATGGAAGAGTTATGGCGCTCGTTATGATGACAGGCGTGACGAACGCGCCGCCCAGTACGCAGAACCTGACTGAGTTCCTGAAACAGTTGGGAGGACAGATTCATGGACAAGGACAGGGCATCCAAGGCCCAAGAAAGAAATTATGAACATTGGCCCATTGAGCAAAAACATGGAAAAACTGTTGAAGGTTTGACTTGTTTGAGTGGATGTTAGGGTTCAGATACCAGAAGTAAACCATTTTGGGAAAACAAGCGATGTTCTGCACCTGTAAATGCAAGGGCTCTGTTGTCAGAGCTTATTAGAACGCCAATGCCACGAGAGGCAAAACCGGGAAGAAACATGTATCGATCCTTTGCTGAAAAGTGGCTATCATTAGAACCAATGCGAACATGCATGGTGGGCACTGGCACAAAGATTTTATAACGCTCTTTTCAACCAACTGCCTCCCTCTTTAGGGTATAATAAAGAGGGGGGCAGTCCGCCAAAAAGAGCGTTGTTCAAAACGGGATGAGAGAGCATCTATTACTTTGTCTACGATGACGCTTTCCATGAGCAAGTCCCAACTGTAGGAGGGAGGTGGTGATGAAGAAGACCGCAGTGGATCGATGGAGAGAGCGCGCAGCAAGGGTGGCTGAAAGGAAGGTGATCAAGAAGAACAAAACCCCGGTTGTTCCCCACACTAACCCTTTTTCTAGCCTAAGGAAAAGACTGGTATCACTCAGGAGGTATTGAAAGGCCTTCCACGATTCAGACCCCAAATTCGGATCTCAGGGTCCGATGCCCAGGTCAAGAAAGGCCGAGTCTGTCAAACTCAGAAAAGTCACAATCAGATACCCCAGCAGTCTAGTCCAACAGGTACCCAGCAAACAGTCACATTCCACGAGATAAAAGGCAGATTCACAAGCAAGAGTCATGTCTCACAAACAGGAGTCCCGTCTCATAATGAAAAGTCATGCTGAAGGGTCACATCCCATGAATAAAGGACTGTTCCACAGGCAGAAGTCGTGATTCAGAGGTAGGAGTCACAGTCCACAGTCTAAAGTCATGTCCACAAGTGAAAAGTCACGACTCAAAAGGCCCAAGCAGCAGCAGACCAAAAGGAATTCCGGAAGGTTCCGGGCCTTAACATTCAGAAGCAGACAGGCCGTGGGAATGTGGTACCAGGACACAGTCAGACCCAGGAAGTAGAGGCTGGCACGAGTTGAGGAGCAATCCAAGACTACAAAAGGACTGGCCGGCCTCCCATTCAGACAGATGCTCATTCGCACAAGAGTGTGGAAGTGCTTGTGCACTTGTGCGCTAGTGTGAGAGCTGCGCTATGCCAGAGAGCAGAGCTGAGTAAGATGAGAGAGAGGAAGGTGTGTGCTGGCAGGGAAGAAGGCAGCCATAGCTGCGCCAGCACTAGGAAGCAGTATAGACGGTAGTCCATAGTAGTAGAGCAGTGAGTAGTATTCAGAGTTGATCCTCATGTGTGTGTTAGTAGTAGGGAGTGCGCATGTGAGAGAAGAAGAAGACTGTGTAGAGAGAAGACCAGAATCATCAAGCGAGAGATAGAAAAGAGAGGGAGAGAGTGAGACATGGTGCATACCTACCTGAAGAGCGCTGAACTCGGTGTTGATGAAGAGCGCTGATGAGCGCAGATGTTGAGACTCTTGATGATTGAAGAAGACTTGTAATTTTGTTGAGCGCTGGACAGTTGAACTCATGATTCTCTCTCTATAATCTGGTTGTGATAATTGAGCTGCGCTATCTGGTCTTTTACTCATCTTCTCTTTGTGCAAAGTGTGTGACAATGCAATCCGTGATTCTGTGAGACTTGCATGTTGGCTTGAGCACTCCATCGTGTGGTGAGCATTGAGGCTCATTACAGTATGGCCTCCCTGCGCAGTAATGAATGGATAAGAGACTATGCCTCAAATGCGGAAAGGAAGGAGACACAGTACCTTGGTGTCCCTCCCTGATGGAAGAGCCAAAAGGGAGCAGCCAGTAGAGGTAGCATGTGTTTCTATGGACTACGTCTTCCCGAGAACATAAGGCATATGCGTTGGATTCGAGTTTTCACACATACGCGTTGCATTTGAAAATCAGGGCTGTTCGAATAGAACGCATATACGTTGTTTTCGAATAGGAAAGCAACCTATGCATTATATCCGTTTACAACGCATATGCATCATGTCCGGGGGAAAACGGGAGAATTGAGCTGGATGGCACAGTAGAACTGGCCCCATTGCCTTGCCCTCTGGCTCCCAAGCATGAGAGGCTAAATTTAGTTCCACCAAACAGCAAAACTTGGCGAACAACGACTGGATAGGAGTCCTTCAGGACACCCGTTAAGAATTGGAACAACACCGAGACAATGAATTAGCACGGTCCATGCACGTTCAATGATGACATGCACGAATCGACAACCGGTCCAGATCAAAAAAGAAGAAGTAAAAAAAAGCATGAGGACTGTTGCGTGCTTGTCAAACTTGATGACCAACATCCTACCCTAGCCCTACCCGGTCAGTCCAAGAACAATGTGCATTGCATCATTGGACTTGATTCTGCCAATCTGAAAAGGCATTTTCTAGCCTAGATCCTAACACTCAGGTTTTGGGTCCAAAACTGGGCAAGAGCAAAATAGCAAACAACTTGAAATGCAGAAAATACTTGGGGCAGGATAAGGGTTCAAATCCCGCAGCCAGGGTTCAACTTTAACTGAGCGCACAGCTGTCGTAATTGAACAGAATAGGACCCCACCTGCCCCCTCCCATTCAGTTGAAACAACCCCCCCCCTCCTCATGTTTGGAGAGGAGGGAGAGAAAAGAGAGGGGGAGGAGGGGAGGGGGGGGGGGGGGGGGGGGGGGAGAGAGAGAGAGAGAGAGAGAGAGAGAGAGAGAGAGAGAGAGAGAGAGAGAGAGAGAGAGAGAGAGANGAGAGAGAGAGAGAGAGAGAGAGAGAGAGAGAGAGAGAGAGAGAGAGAGAGAGAGAGAGAGAGAAAGGGAGGAAGGTGAAATCAGTCTAGAAGAAGCGGATCTCTACTCTGGTTACTTGTGCTTCAACTGCCAAATATGCTCCAAATTAAAAAAAGCCTTCACTCCTGATCACTTGTCCATTATTACTTCCTCTCCATTTTCCAGCTCCTTTGTTTTGCCCTGCACCTACACCTCCCTGTACCCCACCACTTCCCTCTTTCCCCTTGGGTGGTCTGTTTACAGAAGCAACGTAAATCTCTCACCTGTTCCAAGAGATAAGTTTTGTGTTAACTCCCATGTCAGAAAAAACCAGCGCACTTGCAGCATATTTCAAAAGGCGCTGCTTTACTCCACTGTCATAAACCAAGCTGCTCTCAGATACAAGCGCATAAATCGGAATACACAAAAAAGGGTGAACACACACACACACACACACACACACAGCCCACCAGCCAGGCATTTAACACAGAAAACACAAACACAAAAACTTCGGACCAAATATAATAGGATTTATCTTATCTTCGTTATTAGGGGGAAAAATAGAATGACAGCAATGCGATAGGCATGAGTTTGACACGAGTTTCCTCAGACTGCCATATTCTCCCAAATAGGATCTTTATATGATTCTTTAAGGATAAATAATAATTTAATAATTTAATTTCTTAACCAAAAAAAGAAGAAGGATTGCGCAATTTATGAATGTAGTGTGGCTTTTGCCAATGAAATGGGGCTCAAGAATGATTGGTCGATATAAGCACACTGGAAGAACAAAAAAAGAGATCCAGCCACTGAAGGCCAGGAGATATCTAGCATTTCCTAATTTTCCTTTCATCATGTTTCAGGCTAATTAAAAAACAAACAAGCAAACAAACAAAGTTTAACGAACGTTTTACGTGCAAGGTTTTGCACACCAAAACCCAAGATAGGACTTCAGAGGTTATGAGATTCAGATCATGTTAAAAAACAAAAAAAACAAAAAGAAGGATCAAATCACATCAGAGTCATGATTCGACACTTTTGACACCATGCACTAGACACAAGCTGTGCATGCAAAAAGAGAAGTCAAAAAAATCACAAACATAGCTAGGCTACCAGCCGGGCCGCCCGGGTCACCCTATTTTCCCGGGCACCCCGGCATGGAAATCAGATCATGTTAAAAAACATAAAAACAAAAAAAGGATCAAATCACATCAGAGTCATGATTCGACACTTTTGACACCATGCGCTAGACACAAGCTGTGCATGCAAAAAGAGAAGTCAAAAAAATCACAAACATAGCTAGGCTACCAGCCAGGCCGCCCAGGTCACCCTATTTTCCCGGGCGCCCCGGCATGGAAATCCGAAAAAAAACTATGTTATGCAGAAAAATAAGCTGAACAACTTTTGCCTCAGGGTCCAATCGAAATTCTTTACCGAACTTAAAATAAAATTTTAAATTAAAAAATATTTTTTATTTTTTATTTTTTTTAATATCGTTTTGGCCCGGCCGGGCAAGTGGACCCGAGCCACTCTGGTAGCCTAGACACATAGCACAAAATGAACACAGATCACAAACAAAATGAACACAGATCACAAACATAACTGCGATAAAACGAACACAAACAGACAATAAAACCCAAGCTGCCTCAAGGGGAGGGGCGGATCTTGTCACAAAAATGCATCCCCAGCTAATAGGCCCCGCACAATCTGGGACGTGCAGCCTGAGGGCCCCCAAGTCCAATGTCAGTTCCCTGGGTCACTCAAGGGCATCCGACCATGCCACAAAAAACATAGCACACCCATACCACAAACATAGCACACTGATAGCACAAACACATAGCACAAACACATAGCACAAACACACAGCACCAACGCATAGCACCAACGCATAGCACCACAAGCACATAGCACAAACACACAGCACAAACACATAGCACAAGCACATAGAACAAGCACATAGCACAAACACATATCACAAGCACATAGCACAAACGCATAGCACAAGCACATAGCTCTCTACTTTTTGTCAAGCAATGAATGGGACTGTACCAATAGCACAAACACATACCACACTGTCCTTTACCTTTCCCAAAGTCCATGGAAATCCTTGGACGGCAACTGCCATTCGTAAAACGTTGCAATCTCTTCGTCTCCTTCCGTCTCCTCTCCCGGCTCGTCTTCATTAAGCTGCATGGCCATGGAGGAATCAGCCATTGGAGACGATAGACGATACTGGTGATTGCTACGTGGAAAGATCAACTGAAAATTGGCTATCGACTACTATGCGGTGACGACAAGAACCCAAGATCCGCACAATTTTTTTTTATTTTTTTTTTTCCTAAGATTCTTTTGGGCAGCTTGCAGCCTCATGAGATGTCACAGTGGAACGACCGCAAGTCCATTAAGCTGCATGGCCATGGAGGAATCAGCCATTGGAGACGATAGAYGATACTGGTGATTGCTACGTGGMAAGATCAACTGAAAATTGGCTATCGACTACTATGCGGTGACGACAAGAACCCAAGATCCGCACAATTTTTTTTTATTTTTTTTTTTCCTAAGATTCTTTTGGGCAGCTTGCAGCCTCATGAGATGTCACAGTGGAACGACCGCAAGTCCGGACTCAACGCACTGCAAAGATAAAATCCATTAGAAAAATAAAACAATACACAACATAAATGCGGCTTCTAGACCGAGTCTGGCCGACCCGTTTCGACCATTTGCCTATAACAGGAAGAAGCACATTGAGTTTAAAAAAAAAGAAAAGAAAGAAAGAAAGGAAGACCCACTTATATGCCTATAACAGGAAGAAGCACATCCAGTCATCAGTTCGGATTTTCCACAAATGGTCTCCCAGGAAGGGGAAAAAAAAGAAAAAAAAAAAAGAAACGGGAATTTCCCTGCCACTTTAGCAAATCAAGGGACTCGCAGCCCCAGTTTGGAAAGTTTGGGTCTGGCTTGTTTATGTAGGGGGGGGGGGGGGGGGGGGGGAAGAGGGCAGAAACGGAAGGGGAGCAGACGAGAGGGAGACTGCGAGGGGGTGAGGAATGGAGAGGATGAAAATGATCATGTTCAGAATTATAAAAAAAAAAGCACAGTAGGAGAAATACGTAGTGTGTGTGATATGTGTTGAAGATGGGCTATGCACAGAGGATCCGAAAGAGCATAAATGTGAAGTGTAGGACTCAGGACAAGCAACGTGATCAACAAATAAGCGATCCGCATCCAGAAAAGAGACGATATAATGCAATGTAGCACAGCGGAAGACTCGAAGACGTGACCTTACTGATCAAACTCAGACTCAACTCACACAGACACCATCACACATACCGTATAAGCCAAGGATGGGAGCATACACGGAAGAAAGATCCCTCCTTGCACACACACACATGGGGAGGAAACCACGGACGGTGTAGGTGGGGAGGAGATGAAGAAGAGAGAAGGGGGAGAAGAAGAGAGTAACTCGAACTAGTCCGAAAATAGTCCCCCCCGTCAAATGTCCAATAATCGTCTCCCACAAGAATGTCGAATCAGATAGTGGGCGCTCACGGGCCCGACATGGCCACTGCTTGAAATCTCTCACTTTCTCTGTCTCTCTCGCTCTCTCTGAAACAAGAAGAAGACGAAGAAGGAGACGAAGAAGAAGAAGAATGGAATAGTGGCTATGGCAGGTCGGAGAAGAATCAGGGAGAAGAAGAAGAACAACAACAACAACAACAAAAAACAACAACAACAACTCTCCTCTCTCTCCTCTCTCTCTCTCTCTCTCTCTCACCTAATGTTGATGATACCCTTGAACACTAACCAACCTGCGAAGATTGTAGCTCCTCTGATGCAGGTCCTTCAGGTAAGTGTCCACCTCTCCTCGCGGCTTTGGCTCACCAGCCACCGTGCTCCTCACTACCTCCTACTCCCCTAACTGCTACTCTCACACAGCTCAACTCAAACTGGCGCTGCTCTCCAGCAGCGTGCGGCCAACAATGTGCTCCACCTGACTGTCCAGAATTGGACTCCCCCAGCTATATACCACTGGGCCTGGCTGAGGTCTCCACGGTCTGCGATCAGGTCTGTCTGATCTAGACCGTGTTATATATGTGACGACGGAGTGTTACTGATTTGAACCAACGAACCCAAAAACGCAAAACACAGCCCCATACACATGCATACAATTCACTAACAAGTCTGACACAATGATCCTCACCATTCGCAGGCTTTCTTTTTCAGGGTTTGGATTGAGTTCTTGTTACTACATCACACACACACACACACACACACACACACACACACACACACACACACACACACACACANCACACACACACACACAGAAAGAGAGAGAGAGAGAGAGAGAGAGAGAGAGAGAGAGAGAGAGAGAGAGAGAGAGAAAGAGAGAGAGAGAGAGAGAGTTACCTGGTAAACATTGATCTGGAGCTTGATTTGCCAGAAGAGCAAGAATCGGTTGTCCCCAATGATTGAATCTGTGATGTAAATAATACAAGACAAGAAGAAGAATGAGGAGGGTGGTAAGAACGAACCCGAGGCAGGCAGGAATAGATTAATAATAAGGTGAGAAAATAGAGACTCAAATCTCTTGGTTACCAATCGCATGGACGTCGGACGGCGAATAGGTGAAAAAAAAGAAAAAAAAAAATCAATTTCAAACATCGAAGTCCACAGAGTTTAAACTTTAAACATATTCACTAACTGGCCCTAGCCTAGTTGGTACTACACCCCTGAACTGTTAAAATACAGACTCAAGTTCAAACTCCACTGGAAGCAGACGAGTAAAATACCAAAATTCTGAATTACCTAGGGCGGGTCAGTTAAATGTTGATATCTCAAGGCCGTCGCCCTTCTTTTTTCTTTTTTTTTTTCCAAATTAAACACACTCGAACGATCAATGCTGAGAGGAAAACTTGGGTACGCCAAGCTGACAGTCAATCCTCCTAAACAGGAGCAACCAATGCTGGTCAGGGTTCCTTCGGCCAAGACGGAAGGAAGCACGAGAGTGTTCACCATATATTCCAAGTTTTGACTTGCCCGTGGAAAGGAACCGGACTGACGTTCCCCAGAATGGATACGGAGCCAGGACCATAAGGACCTGTTTTGATACAAAAAAAAAAAAAAAAAAAAAAAAAAACCCTCGAACGAAATTGAAAGATGGATATTCCCAAGAGAGATCTCACCTGTGTCGCATATGCAGATGCTCTCCACATTTTCATCAATGAATTGATCCTCACCAAGCACGACAGGAATGGGCCCATCCACGTAGGCCATGCTTCGCTTTTCCATCATCCTGTTGCGACAGCAGACAACAATTCATGAATTCAAGGAACATTCATGGAAAATAACAGTGAATCTTCATATCCAATCCACGTAGGCTATGCTTCAGTGTTCCCTCATCCTGTTGCAAAAGCAGATAATGCAGCAGACTAAAATATACACATTCACGGAAAATTTGCAGCAAATTCATGGACAATTCATAGATATTCATAGCAAATCCACATAGGGCCTTCTAGACCTCTGACAGCTCTAGAAGCACTCACGATTTTTTTTCGTGAGTCTAGTGTAGTGGAGCGAGAACCATAGGCCACGCTTCCATTTTCCATCATCTTGTTGCAGAAGCAGATGATGCAGCACACGACGATACGATACGTATCGCAACGATTCAAGGCAAGTACGAGGAAACTTCATATTAAATCTATTTTTTTATATGCAATGCTTTGATTTTCCATGATCCTGCTGCAGAATCAGATAAGGCAGCAGACAATACATGAAATACACACACACACCAAAAAAATAATAAAAAATAATAATAATAAAATCGACTCCAGCCCCAATTGCACCAATCTATCTATCACTCCTATCCCGGTCCCAACCCGCACCTGCAACTCCTATCCTCGTTACTTCTTGGCCTTCAAACAGAGCAGAAGATGGAGGGGGGGGGGGGAGAGGGGGGAGAGAGAGAGAGAGACAGACAGAGAGAGAGAGAGATGGCCGACCACATGCAGCGGTCTTACCTTTCAACGGCTTGCCTCACGTCGTCTGCCCGTGCAGTGCTGTTTGCCTTCAAGCATACCTCCACTGCATCAGCACAGCCAACAGCCAAACCAGACCAGGTACGAAACCAATCCAGACCAGGTACGAAACCAATCCAGACCAGGAACCAAACCAAACCAAACCAACCAGGAAGCAAACTGAACCGAACCAGAGCAGGAATCTAACCAAATGAGCAACCAAAACCGAACCATGAACCAAAGCAGGTACTCAAACAAGTAATCAGATCGGGAACAAAACCGGCCCAAACGAGTAACCCAACCAGACCAAACCAAGAACCCAACCAGACCAGACCAAGAACCAAACCAGACCAGACCAAGAACCCACCCAGACTAAACCAGGAACCCAACCCGATCAAACCAAGAACACACCAGCCCAAACCAGACCAAAGTAGAAAAACGCAAATCAAACCAGGAACCAAAGTAGACCAAAGCAAACCAAACCAGGAACCAAAGCAGACCAAAGCAGGAACCAAAGCAGACGAAAGCAGGAACCAAACCAGACCAGGAACCAAAACCACAACAGGAAGAGAACCAACAAGCCAGAAGCCAAACCAAACCCAAAAAAAAGCAAACAGATAATGAATCATCGCGCCAAAACCAACAAAACACAAAAGAAAAAGAAATGGAGTTGGACAAGTGAGGGCATACCCAGACTAGCACTTTCCAAATGCATCTGACTGCGATTACGTCCACAGCTGAGTCAAAAAAAAGTCCTAGTGTGAGTATAACGGTATAACCTGACTTGCATGAGGAAAATTTTCAACGGTCACAAATTTTCAGCTGTCACAAATTTTCAAAAAGGCATCAATTTCTTTCAGGTACGAAGCAAAAAAGGAAAAGACTGTTCAGATTAAAAATTAAAAAAATTTAAAAAAAAAACGTCCGCAGATGCATAGTAAGAGAAAGGGCAAACTCACACATGAATAGCAAAATTGCATAATCTGCAATTTTGCAACTGCAATTTTGAGGTTTAGCTGTGCTGCGTACTCGCACACGGCTGCCTTTGTGAATGAGACGTCGCCCCGACTTTCTGAAAATTGGTCCATTTGGTATCAACGTGGTCACACAGCTGATAGCAGACTCTGGAATATTTTTTATTGGGATTTCAACTTTTCATGGTTTTTTTTTTTTGTCTTTTTTTCCCTTTCCTATAACGTTTGGGCCCGCACGGTCATGACTTCGAACGGTTCGCTTGGCCGCGGCCACTGTGGTACCACTCCGATCGGCCAAGCACTCGAATCCACGTTACCATGTGCTGAGAGGCAGAAAAAGAGCTGGCAGCACAGTTCTTTGCACCTTCCCGCATACATGTGCTCGTTCAAGCCCTGGCGGCTCAATTAACATCTGTATTCGCCATATATATTCCGATGCATGCCGTTGGCCGGGGTGTCGTCTGATATGCCCCGATGTGTTTGGCAAGGCCGAGGCCTTCGAGGAGAATGCTTTTTCCTTTTAGCGGCGGGATCGCACAGACGCTTATGTTGCTGTTGTATATTGGGATCCTTGCCTTGCTGAGGGTGACATGGTTACGGCCAAAGGAAACAGTTTACCCTGCATTCTTCTCTATGATGTGAGGGACGCGGGACCCGTTTTCCGGTTGGTATAATTCAACAGCAGCCGTCGTATGAACCAGGCCGGTGTGCCTGGATAATTCAACACTGGCTGCCCTTCCCTAAAAAAAAAAAAAAAAAAAAAGAAGAAGAAGACGGGGAAGGAGAAAAAAAAAAAAAGAGCACCTAAGATAGTCACTTAAACTCACTTTACTCAAAAAGAGGGAAGGGAAAAAAAAAAAAAAAAAAAAACGGAGCTAAGATTGTCACCATGGCTACCGACCAGACGTCCGGACCGGTTTCCAGACACCCCCAAACATAATGTAGGGGTCCGGTGTCCGGTCCTGGACGTCCGGAACAGGCCCCCCCAACGAAAAATCAAAAAAAAAGAAGGGGCCGCCAAGGACATTTTTCGGGTCCTCGACGGCCCCGGAAAAATACTGGGCCGATTTGTCTTTGTTTTTTCGGCCTACCGGACATCACTCGAAGGCACGGCCCCACCACAGTCTGTGCAGACTCAGGTGGGGTGGCGGGAGGCAGGGCCAGYAGTTTCAAACTGGYCGTTTTCGAATCTMGCGGCCKCGCTRKTCGAAGCCGCCAGCTGCTGCCCGTCACGTCCCCCCTGCAGCCGCGCAGCCAGCTGCCGCCAACATCCAAGAAGCAGGTCAGTCTCTCTCTCTCTCTCTCTCTCTCTCTCTCTCTCTCTCTCTCTCTCTCGCTCTCTTTCGGGTTTGGCCTTTCTTCGGGCTTTGTCCTTTCTTCCACGCCGGGAGGTTCGGGAGGAGGTTCGGGGAGGGAGAGGGGAGGTACGCAGTGGGACCAAGAAGCAGGTCAGTCTCTCTCTCTCTCTCTCTCTCTCTCTCTCTCTCTCTCTCTCTCTCTCTCTCTCTCTCT